GCACACGCACACGCACACGCACACGCACGGCATGGAACCTGAACCTTGGTATTATTTGACTTTCTTTTTTAAATTTATAGATAATCCTAGTTCGTGAGGTACTAAAAAACTATTATTATATAATTTAGTTTGGTCATGAAAATCGCTAAAACTCAATTGCTAGTGGTTTTGGTTAGGCTTTTGTAGCATTTTCATAGTTTGGATTTTGTTTATTTTGTTACGTAGCAATTGTTAGGGAAGGATTTATCTTTTCATACTTTCAAACTTTCAATTTTATCAATATCAAATTATTGAAATTGAACCTAACAATTATATTCATTAGTGATAGAGTTTAACGGTAGAAATTTTGTCTAATTGAGTATAGCTCAAGTGGTTAAGACATCTATTTATGATCAAAAGGTCATGAGTTCGAACCCCCACCCCTTTGAAAACTTAGGGCTCGTTTGATAACGTTCCCGTTTCTTGTTTCTTGTCCATCATATGATTAATATTCATATATACATGGAATACTGATGGTGCATATGATTAAGAATATTGATTTCGACCATGCAACTTACATTTTTCTGTTTCTTTCTTTCTTTTTTTCTTTTTAAATTTGTGGATTTAAAACTTTTTCCAAATGCTAAAGTTGCCCTTATTTATGACATTTATATTTATTATAATTAGTCTTTTATTTAATTGCAAGAGATTAATATTCCAAATTTGATTTTGTAAACATTAAATTATCGTCAGAAATAAATCAATCATTCTCATAATCCCCTAATTTACTCTCTAATATATTCTACAAATTTATTACAAAATATTCAATTATTCTCATAATCCCCAAATTTACTCCTTAATATATTCTACTAAATAATGAAATTTATTACAAAATATTTATTTTCGTTTCATTACAATTTTTGGCCAAATTTCAATATTATTTTTTTTTTTGGAAAAACTACTCCATTGACATATGTGATATAAACTATGGAGATATAAACTATGGAGATAAATTTCAATATTATAGTCATTATAATATACACTTATATGGAGATATAAACTTTATCCGGCTACATTTTCATTCATATAAAAATATAAACTATATTCGGCTATAAACTTAAGCAAGATACACTTAACAGTAGTGATATAAACTATAGCCATTATAACATACACTTATATTGAGATATAACCTATATCTGGCTATAAAGTAGATACGACTATATCCCTCAACAATTAACAAACAAATTAAGCAAATAACCTACAAACCTTCCGGTCGGTGACTAGACAATGGTCGGGATAAACGGAGGGTTTGAATGGTCGACGGGCGGCCGGCTACAAAAAAGAAACCTCTGGATAAATGGACGGAAACAATTGACGGGCGGTTGGAGACAAAGGAGAAGCTAGATAGATTGTTCCAGAGACGAAGAAGAACGGAGACAGCAGTCGGAGACGAAGGAACGTAGACCGCGGTCGAAGACGAAGGAATGGACAAAAACAAAACGACAGAGGAAGAAGAAAAGTCGGAGGAAGAAGGTTTTCGAATTTTTTCAATAATGGATAATTTTGGGGATTTGGTATTTTTTACTTTTGGATAGTCTAATTAGGCAAAATTTAAGGGATTTAAAATGAACGGTAAATTTTATACATTCAATGCTTTTATGTAATTATAGTCTCTAAATAGCCTATCAGTAACTTTAAAGTATATTACTCATTCATGAATTATAAACTTCAATCTTTTTCTAGTGGATCATTTATAGATTTATTCACATATCAAGTAATATCATATGTATATCACTTATTATATATGATTAATATAACCAATATTCACTTATATGTATCAATGGGAGGGGTATAATCGACTTTTCTATTTTTTTTTATTTCGGTCTTGCCTTCCCTTTTTTATTATGTTTGCAACTAAAAAATAGTTAATGCTATTTTTTCAATTAATTATTAACTATTAGTGATCTACAAATGGACCTAAAATATTATTATTTAAATACTAAAATCAACTGATATATATATTTGGTTTCAAAATAAATAAATAAGCTAATACACTCGGATACTAAAAGTCAATCAATATATCGTTGATATATATCGCTCGATATGTCGATGTATCGAGGGAGTCTACATCGACAAACTCTCTTAATTATTTGTAGTTGAGAGTCATTTCAAACTCTCTCGTCTATAATTTAGTTGGTTTGAGTTTTACAAATTTGAAATTTGATATTTGATATTTTTTTTAGGCATTTTAATAAAATTTGGTAACAAAAGTTTTTTTTTTTTTGAATTACAAATTGAAAGAATAAAGATTAAATTTTAATGGAAGGTAAAAATAAAATTAATACTAGCAATGTATTATTAATTGAGCTGGTTTGTCCGAGAGGTTAAGGGGGAAGACTTAAGATCTTCTGCACATAAGTGCGCGTGGGTTCGAACCCCACAGCTAGTGGAAGAACAACTGACGGAAATTAGGCAGCCTTGGCCCAACAAAATGAGATCCGAGAGATAAAAAAAAGGGGAGAAGAGTATTCCAACCAATCCAAAAAATAATTAAAAGAGATTTGGGAGATTTTGAAGAGATTATGAGTTTTAATAAAATAATTAAAAAATCTATCAACACTTGTTTTGTTTTTATAGGGCCACATGAAGGTAAAGCGAAGTTTTTCCATAAAAGAAGGCAATTCTATTGGGAGCCACAGGGAGTTGAGAAAATTTTGGTGCCTTTTTCATTTTGACATCATATCAGGCAATTCTGTTATTGGAACGCAACAATAGATCATTTGCTGACTTGTAGAAATCTCAAATTTCTCTCTGGGACGACATCGTAGTCCTTGCTCCTACATGGAGTTCTAAATCCAATCTTTTTTGTAATTATGATATACCTTATCTCAATTGGAGTGTTTTTACATATCGCCTCTCTTTTTTACGTTTCTCACGTACATTATCTCAAAAATGAAAAGACAAGACACCATGTTCTCGATCAGGGTTGGGAACATTGGTCTTCTTCTGCACGCCACATCTCAACTCACCGAAATCGCCGACGAGGTGACCGTGAAACTCACCCCGGAGTTGTTCTCGATGATCGCCTCGCACCGGTCGTCTCGCTTCGACGTCGTGCTGAAGTTGCCGCGTAATTTCTTCACCGCCTACTCCGTCCTGCTCACTCACACTTCAAGGATTTCCATCCACGCCTTCCACACTGCTCTCTTGGATGCCTCAACTTCCCCCTCAATGACCATCCATATTCACGATTCCATTAATCGCTTCATCCTTAGATTTGAGAATTCAAGTAACCTTTTTCATTATTCATTGTTTCTTTTAATTTGGTTTCAACTTCTTTATTCTTTTCATTATTGGCTTTTCTTTTTTAGGTCATCAGCAAGAGAAGCGCCACGAATTGATATTTTCACTTCTTCCGGACCAGGATCAAGATGAGGATCACTTTGGCAAACTTGACTATGGAAGATTTTTTGGGATTCATTACCAAGATTTCACTCAGATTATAGCCAGATTCTCTATCCACGATGATGAAACACGTAATACAAACTTTTCGGATTCTTTAGCCTCTGTTTCGCGTCAAGTTGATGAAATGATTTTAAATCGTTCTGAGAAATGATTTTAAATTCTTTATCTTGTTTGGAACAAGAATGATTTGAAGCGAATTAAATTAGATTTATTTGGATGTTTACCGAAATGAAAAGAAAATAGAAATTTTACTGATTTAGACTTTTATTCTAAATTTATTAATTAGAAATTAAAATATGACGAGGTTAAATAGGTAATTTACTTATCAAATCCGACAAATAGGATTTGAAATCAAATCATGTGCTACCAAATAGTAGAATTCATTTGAAATCCGTCATGATTTTGAATTCTTTCAAAATCCGAAGTATCAAAGAGAACATTAATTTATTTGATAATTAAGAATTTGTTAGCGTGTTTATTACAGTTTTGGTCACATCTACCGATTCAGAGGTCACATTCTCTACGCCAGCTAGGTTGCTCACTCTTCACAAAGAGGTATTGTTGATCTTATTTTATTTTTATATTTTTTCTTATTAGATGATGAACGACTGATGAAAAACTCAAATTAATTTTTATGTAGCATATTAAAATAAAAAGTTCTTTTGGATTGTTAATTATGACCACCAACCACGAGTAAACAAGGTGTTGGTTGATGTTGTACAGGGAGGAAAATGTACGATTCTTGGTCGCGGAGAAGATGAAATGACTCAATTTCTAATTACTATCCAACCCATGATGTTTTTCCTTGGTGTGGCAGGTCAATCGCAAAAGGTATGGTTTTTCAAGACAGTTGATTCTCGTGGTGCAATGCGTGTCCCTTTTGACACGTATGTTTATGTGATCTATTTTAATCTAATATGACAGCGTGAAAATCTTGATCTGTAGAGGGTTCTGACTATTTGACATTCTTTTTCTCTTAATAATCAAGAGATTGGAGATGATCGATGATAGTAAAAATATACCTATACTCCGCCCTAGTTCAAAATAGTGTGTAATATGATTCAAACTGATCTTTAGCAAACTATAAAAAAATTTGTCATTTCCATTGAAGTATATATGATTCAATTTACCTCAATCTCTCGATCTACCTACTGGCAAGTCTTATTGCTTATTAAAAATAAAAATAAAAAAACTCCTATGTCATCTCTATGGTATACCAATTTTGAATAATATATTCAATTTGGTAGTACGGCTATAGATTTTGCTTTTTAACTTGGAGGTTCAAGGTTCAATTTTTAGCACTCTCATTCTTCTTCTAGCAAATAAATGTTATATTTTAATTTTTTTTCTTTTAAATGAGTTTAAATTTAAATAAATGCTGCTTAATCAAATTTATCTCTTCTCATAGAATAAAATAATTACTATATATAACTCTTAAGTACTAAAAACAATAATTAAAAAAACTATAATTAATATATACTCAGTCATCTACTTTTCTATAATATATTGTCATTGTTTTCCTTTTAAACAAATATAAATAAGTATTACTTTAATAAAATCTCTCTAAGGTTAGAAACCTTTTAATAACTTTTTTCAACAAAAGAAAAAAGTAATAATAGTTTTCATAGTTCAAACTTATTGGGAAAATAACGGTCGTATAATTTTTAATTCCACATAAAATATCTAAATACAATCATAATATGCAAATAGGAAGAAAAATTGTAAAGCACACGATAAATGACACAGCAGATTATGTTCACCACTAAGAGCTATATTTAGTCTTCCACTCAGATGTATATTTCGTTCTTTCATGTGCTTTCTGGAATCCAAATTCTTCTTATACCATCGCTCTCAGGGCGRATCCGCGGAGCTACTATAACGTCAATCTCGTTGAAGTCGAAAAAAAGCCTATTTTGAGCATGTTCATTTCCTCTCGTACGTTCATGATATTGCTTTCACATGGCGCTCAAATAAATTCACTCTAATGGACTTAGCTTGCTCGTATAACAACTCTCTTTAAATAGGCTTGCTACCGAGATTTCTGACTTGAATATAGACCTTTGTCCTATTCTTTTATCGTAAACTTGGCTATAAGATTGGAATACAAAACTCTCCCCAAAAATATCCCTTAGAGGTCCCAACAAAAGCCTCCTGGCTTCTAAGTATTTTAACACGATTAATACTTGGGAACATGAATGAAAACTCACAAGGATCAAGATACAATTACCCCGATAATGTCGATCTTGATCAACCTCAATGCCTCTGCAAATACCCCGAGCCTCTGCCTTGAAATTGCCACAAAACCCTCTAAAAAACGGCGGGACTAAATCCTAAAACTGTAATTTATAAACATCGACACAGTGTCATGGCGCTGTCCACGCCCCTAATCAGGACAGCGCCGCAGTGCTGCCTCCTCGGCCCTTGTGGCCTGCAGAGACCACTTCCCCTGGTTTTCATCCCCACTTCGATCCCGACGCATCCTGACTTGATCCCGACTCATCCCTAGCTCATTCCGACATCGTTTTGACTCCGCCAATCCCAACAAAACTTAAATAATTATTACTCGTTAAAATATCCCTTCTCTCTTAAATATCTATATTGTAATTTTTCCCTTTTAAACAAATTAAAATAAGTATTACTTATTAAGATAAAGAATATATATTATTTTTAATAGTAATTATTTGTTTTATGAGAGAACATATAAATCTATTAAGTAACATTTATTTAAAAGAAAAAATTGCAATAGTATTGGATAAAAATGAAGAAAAAAAAAGAACAGGAGTATTAAGAATTGAATCTTGACCTCTAGGGTCATGTTTACCTCAAGGTAAGAATCTTATCGATTGTAGCTTTGGAATCAAATGTCAGGACTATATAAAACTTTGTTAATCTCATTTCCTTGAATAAACTATTTAAAATTGGTATAGGTTGTGTCCTAAAGAAACAACCTAACCACCTTATACCCTTCCAAGGATCGAGCCC